GACCCCATGCATGCTCCTGCCTTCTGCTGGACAGTGGGGGCTGCCCACAGCTCCTGCCTATGCTCCTGGGAATCCATAGAAATGTTCCTGAAAGCAGCCTAGGTTCTGGAGTACTCCAGGAAAATGGACTTTGCTCCCCCTGTACTGTCCACAAAAGCAAGATGCTTCTCTTTTTAGAAGGTAGTAATGCTACCTGGTGATGAGCCAAGCTCCAAATGTCCCTAGCCAATATCTGTATTTCAAAAATTGAATATCCCCTGGGGGGATTTTTTGTCTTTTCTTGTTAGTAAGGATCTTAAATTTAAATATGTTGTGATTAGTACTGCATCATATTTCACACATCAAATTCGTGGTTTTTCCAGTAATCTTTCTCCATTATTTGGCTCTTGATCTAGCTTATTTCATTATCTTGTGTATTCTACTAAACCTGTTTGTTCTAATAAGCAATCATTTGTCCTGTATCAGATCATTCCAGAACATTTTTGTCCCATTAAGATATTCACTCGTTCTATTTGAAATCTGGCTGTATAATTTGGTATTCTCCCTCATTTCATTCTATCTCAGATGTCTTCTGTGTAAATTCCAGTGCCACATTTGCATAATTGCCTACCTGCCTCCTCTACTACCTACAGTTTATTAAGAACCTATTATGGGTCAAACTCTGTGCTGGGGACAAAATGTAAAGATGTTTTTACAGTCTCTGCTGTGAGAGTTCATAACGTAGTTGTAGAAAAGGATAGATACAAAAACAATTTTACTGTTTCTTTGATAGAATCTATAATACCTTTCTTGTCTGGTATTATTTTTATGTATAATGTGTTGTGTTTAATCTGTCTCTTAACATTTAATGCCATATCCCAAGCTCTTCTTCTGTTCCTAGTTTCTATCATGCTTATTGAACGATAGTCCAGAATTCTCTTTAGATATCTTTTATCAAATGTCTTTGATGCAAGCTACACCAACATTCTCATTTTATATTTGTATTCAAACTCATTTAATGGCTTTTGGAACTTTTGTAGAAGCTATACTTATTGTAGCCTGGGTTTTAAATGTCATTTTGTACATATATAAATTTTCTGGTTAGATTATCTTATTCTCTACATTTTATTTCTCAAGCCTGAAATTGTTTTTCTTTATTACATCTTAACTTAGTTGATATCTTTCACTCTTCTGAATTCATGTATTTCCTCTAAATTTTTACTTTAAAAATTGTTTAAGGGGCCGGCCCGGTGGCGCACTGCTACAGTGCGCCGCTTGGGAGCGCGGTGGCGCTCCCGCCGAGGGTTCGGATCCCACATACAGACCGGTTCCTGCTCACTGGCTGAGCGAGGGGCGGGAGCAATACCGAGGGTTGCGATCCCGTTGCCGGTCCCGGTCCGGTACGGGTGCGACACTGAGGGTTGCGATCCGTTGCCGGACATGAAAAAAGACAAAAAGGAAAAAAAAATTGTTTAATACTATCTAAATTTTTGGTAATAGACATGTACCATTTTAGTTTTACCTACCTCCTCTTGCTTAAAACAAAACAAAACAAAAAACTTCCATCATTCTGACACTGTTATAACCCCCAAAAAGCTGGTGTTTTTTCCCCAGCCTTAAGGTCTGTTCCAGCAAAGTGTTATTATATCCATAAGAAACTCAAATCTGGCTCAAAAATTCCTTGAAAAAATAATGTATGTCTTTATTGTAAGTTTTCTTGCGCAGATAGGGAAGGAAGAATCACGTTTCAACACATAGTAAGTCTTCTTGGGCTCTTCATTACCTTTGTCACTCCCCAGATCCTTGCTTTTCTTAGCAGTTGCCTGTTCTTCCCAGTTCTCAATTTCCTATCTGTTTCTCTGTCTCTTACTCTTGCTCTCTTTTCTTTCTCTCTCTCCCCAGCCACATGCTTGTCCTCATTTCCTTATTACCTTCATAAAGCTTTTTATTATAGAAAAATTTGGTCTGTTCACAGTTTTTGCCATTTTGTACTCCTTCACTGTTTATCCCTGTCACACAACAAAAGCCTGGTTATACCCTTCATCCATTCAGCACATGTGATGGATTTTTCCTCTTTGGGAGTGGTTAGTGGAAGATATGCAGGAATTGTTTAAAGCTTTTTTTTCTTTTGTTCTTGTCATACTATATTATATACCTAAAATTCTGCTCTTTACATCCTGTAATGATTAGATAATGCTAGCTGCTTTAACAAGCTCTAAAATTTAATGGTTTAAACACAATTAAAGCTTTCTTTTTTACCCTTATAAAGTTTATAGGGTGCTTCTGATTGATAGATGGCTCTCTTCCAAAAGATTATTCACGGACCCAGACTACTTCTACCCTATAGCTCTGTCATCTTTAATATGTGGCATCCAAGACCACTATACTGGTGTGCATAAATTGACAGAAGGGAAAAGAACATGGAGGACCATATTAGAGTCCTCTATGGGCCAGTCCCAGAAGTGGTGCACATAACTTCGGCTTATATTCCATTGGGTAGCCCTTAGCCATGTTGCCATTCCTAACTGCAAGGGAGGCTGGGAAATGTAATCTAACTGTGAAGAGAAAACAGTGACTGGCTAGTTTCTACCATACCTTATCTACAGTTTGATTCATTAGAGCTCTGCCTTTTTCACAAGTCTTTCCTATTCACTGACAGTTTATCAGAGACAACTGGATATTGCAGATTTTAACCTCCTACTTAGCAACCTGAATTTTGACATTTAGGACATCTTTATTATACTTCTGTGTAACTCTCTATGTATCTAATTTTTGACCTTGGACCAAAACAGTGCCTTGCATATGTTAGTTGCTTAATGAATACTTGTTGAATTAAATGAATGCGTGATTATCACCCTGTGCCTCACTGCCACTTCCTTTTATAGGAATATCTTTGGTAGAAAAGAACATTTGGTAAAAGATGTGTCCCTTCCTTCTTCAGTAATTGAAACTTTATCAATGATTCTGTACAGGTCTTTTAATTTATTTTTCTTTTGCGTAGAATGACCATACTTCTTTGCTGAAGACTAAGAGCTTCTTGTACTGGGTATAGGAAAAAGAAATCTGCATCAGAGGCAGATTTTTGGAGCAAATGTCTTGAGTACAGTGATAATTCACTTAATAAAATTTTGAGAGATTTTAGAAGTCCGCCCAGCTTCATAGTTGTTTAGAGAAGTTTCAGATCTCTTTACACCAGATCAGTGGTAGAAATACTATCAGCTATAGTTTATTCTTTCATCTGTTTATACCTCTTTTAACTATTTTTTATTAACTAGGTTCTGTGTTAGATACTGGGGATGTGAACATGAATAAAATAGTTCCTGCTCTCAAGCAAGGAACTATTAACAAATAATTGCAAAGATTTAAACCATTTCATAATAAACCATAGATTTACAAGCATTGGAGGCAACAAAGAGAAGGGAAATTATTTTGTGCTTGATAAATCAGGAAAAGCCTGAATAGGGAGTGCCTGTACCTCACAGATGGGAGGGCTAGTTCATGTAAGGTCCTCAGTTGAGAATCAAGACAGGTTCACTTATACCGTAGTCCTATAGTTCACTGGGTCAGAGTCCATCTTGAAACAGATGGATATGTCTCTTAATTCCCTACTTCCAGGGTTTTGTTTTGTTTTTTCCTTTTTTTTGTCTTTTTTCGTGACCGGCAACAGATCGCAACCCTCAGTGTCGCGCCCGTACTGGACCGGGACCGGCAACGGGATCGCAACCCTTGGTGTTGCGCCGCACCTCGCTCAGCCAGTGAGCGGCCGGTCTGGATGTGGGATCCGAACCCCCTCGGCGGGAGCTCCGCCGCACTCCCAAGCTGCGCACTGTAGCAGTGCGCCACCTGGCCGGCCCCCCTACTTCCAGGTTTAAGAGGGCATTATCTAGATAGAAGGAATGAGAGGGAGATACTACCTGGATAAGGCTGAAAGATCCACATTTTCTTTCATTCTCTGACAGAGACATTTCTAAGCACAGAGTCTGTTCATGGATTGCATGTTATTTATTAACAGACACCTAATTCACTGAAATAAACGAGATCATGACTCTATTGCTATCGTTTCTATCTGTATTTCTTTAGGACAGTTTGGTTTAATTTAGGTTATGTCATTTGAATAACTCAGCAACTCAATCAGGAGTACTGTCTTCAGGAACAGAAAGATAAAGCACATAATTGTTTCACCTACCTTTAAAAATTCTGCCATATCCATTATGCCTACTGCAGTAGTATTCCTTTCATTGCTTTCATAAATAGTTGATCTGTGGCAAGTCCTAGTCTCACTTGGAAATTTCCTTCTGTATTCACATTGAATGCAATAGAGTGTAACACTTTTATTAATTGTTCAAGTTATTTTCAACTAAAAATTAAATGACATTTATAATTTAGTTTGATATAACGAAGTATACAAAATAAAAGAATAATGACCCATACTGCTGCTCTGAAATCCCTATTAATATTAAAAAATAAAATTAATATATTTAGATAAATAGAAAATTCAGATAGTACCAATAGGTATAAAATGAAAGTAACCCACTGCCCTGTCCTCTCTCTTCAGATGATAGCTCCTTAAAGGTAACTACTGTCCATAGTTTCATATTATTTCTCTTAGAAATATTTATATAAGCATACCAGCATTTGTGTGTATTCATTCTTTCACTTTATCTATCAGTAATTTTATTCATTTCTTTATTCATCCACAAAATATTTGTTGAAGGCCTATTCTGTGTCAGCCAGCATTTTATGCCCTGGGGATACAGTAGTGAACAAAACAGAAAAGTTCTCTCTTCTCATGGCACTAGAGTCTAGATGGAAAAGAGACAAAAAATGTAAATAAATAAAACAAGATGATTTCATTTAGTTCAACATGTTATAAAGGAAATAGAGTGGCTTGATATAATGATGCTATTAGGTAAGGTGGTCGGTGAAGGCTTCTGCTTGTACAGTTTATTAAATTTTACCAAAAAAAGAAAATCATGGAGTGACTCAATTAATGCTTGACTTATGCTATATTTATTTTAAAGGTGAAGCCCCATCTGCCATTCAGCTGCCCACACCTACGGTCCAGCGCCCAAGCCCCATCACACTTTTCCAGCCCAACGTCTCCAGTACTACCCAGGTGGCAATCCCAGGTCCAAGTCTGCCCCTCCACCCAGCACTCCCATCCCAGCGCTTTGCTGGGCCTTCCCAAACGGACACTCATCAGCTGCATTCTGGAGCCAGTCACTCTGTGAAGAGACCCACTCCAGTCTCTCTGGAGAGCACCAACAGGATTCCAACTAGTGCAAGTACTGCCCATGCCAGATTTGTAACCTCGACCATCCAACCTCCCAAGGAATATCCCAGCATTTCCACTTGTCCAAGAAGTGCTTCAATCCCCCAGGCTCCTCCCATTCCACATTCACATGTCTACCAGCCCCCTCCTCTTGGCCATCCAGCCACACTGTTTGGGACACCACCGCGATTCTCTTTTCATCACCCTTACTTCCTACCTGGACCTCACTACTTCCCATCAAGGTAAATGAACAACTTTTTTCCTTTCACCTAAAAAATACAGTTAATGAATTTTTATCTCTGAAGGCATCTCTTTTTTACTGAAAAGGGGACTTCCTCAATTCTGCTTGGAATCTAATGTAGAGGCTGAATAGGAGCAAAGCAATTAACAAAAATAGATGAAGGGGGCCAGATGAGGACTGGTGGAGTTAGAGAGAGTGCATCTAATGTGGCAGCTGCTACTCAGCCCTAGTCCACTCTTGCTATATGAGAATATTGGCTACGGTGTTGTCAGATATAATTCTTCATGAGAAACACGTATCAGGGACCTTAAGATCATTTAGTCAGAACCCCGATTGTATAGAGCTGTGTTTCTCAAACTTTAATGTGTATATAAATTATGTGGTATCTTGTTAAAATGCAGATTCTGATTCATTAGGTCCAGGGTATGTATAGTAGTATCCGGTATTGTCATATAATATGCCTGATATTTTGTATTTCTAACAAGCTCCCAAGTGATGCCAATTCTGCTTATTTGTGACCACATTTTGAATAGCAAGGGTATAGAGGAGGATACTTGGTCTAAAAGGTTAACTGACTAGTCCAAAGTTATACTTCCTCTCAGTGCCCTTTTTACCAAACCAGAAAATTTTCCATGTATATTATCAATAAAAGAATTGATTTTCGTAAGGAAGTATCTAGGGAAAACAAATTTTTCATTTTTCATTTTGGAGGATAGAACTGAACTTCCTTACAAGTGACAGAGCACTATTAGCTTCTATTTTTCAATTGCTGTTAAATGTATAGACAGAGATGGTTACTATCGAGATTGGAGGGCTAAGTGTCTGACACCAATCTTCTATTATTACTTACCTAGAAAGTAAAACTATTCCCCACTTGGACATACCCACTCCTCAAAGGAAACAACTTTTGAGGTATATATTATGTTGCTTCAATTCATAATGAGATTGCTTGCTTTTGTGTCCTTAGCTCAGAACTGCAAGAAAGTGAAAACTAGGGGATTAGGTCAGGAGAAAAAGAGATTTTACTATCTGGGGTTTGTTTTGTTTTATGTAGGCTCTTTTTATCTTTAGCAGCTTGTAGAAGTCTTTTAGTTCAAGGGATCAAACCTCAAGAGACTTCTAAGGCCAGGGGTTGATAAACTCTTCTCACTGCTATCTAGCAGGATCTAGGATTTTATAAGAATTTTGGAGAATTTTACAAAATGTTTCCTAGATATAAGATGAGTGTTAAGGGCATAGGTGAAATTTAATAAATGAGTAGATTTGGGAACACTTGGCCTTAGTTAGAATCTTGAGGTCTATAACTAAAATTGCAGAAATTTTATCTGTTACATAATCCATTTCATGATATAGGAAAGGCTGGGACGGTATTCACTCACAGGAAAGGAGAAAAAAAGTCAGCTAGAATGTATCCCATGATCTCACTCTAGCTGTTATTGTTTATTTGTTAATTTGTTTGTTATACTTATCTTCTTTTTAGCATTTTGAGAGCTAACCATTTTTGTATGTAATTCTCTGTGACTTGGGTATAATGCTCCCCTATGTTTTTGTTGTTGTTGTTGTTTTTAAAGATGACTGGTAAGGGGATCTCAACCCTTGCTTGGTGCTGTCAGCACCATGCTCTCCCAAGTGAGCCAACTGGCCATCCCTATATAGGATCCAAACCCGTGGCCTTGGTGTTATCAGCACCACACTCTCCCGAGTGAGCCACGGACTGGCCCTCCCCTATGTTTTCAGATAAATGAATTGATCAGATGTTAAAGAGCTTTGTCAGAGTTACACAGTGGCAGAGCCAGTAGTCCAAGTTAGGTTTGTCTGTCTGATATTGAATTCCGTATTTGCTTTTTTTGACTACATCAGTAGGACTTCTCAGTGTAACAGCTCCTCTTGACTGACAGCTGTTTGTTGCTAGCAGAGAATTATATGGGAAATATGTACTTTTGAATGGAAAACTCATGTAGTCAAGTGGACTTTTGGGCAGGTAATGTTTCCTTATATATTAAATGGATTAAATCACAAGAAATCTATCTTCCTTACTCATGTCAAGGCTTATAGGATTTCGCTGTTAATGTAGCAATCATCAAATACTTTAAAGAACATTTTAAAAGGAAGCTCTTGGAGGTAAGTTCTTAGAAGACAGAAACTGTACCTTTTTCTTTACTACTGTTATTGCTACTTAATAATGCTTTTGGAAGAACCAAATGAAGTGAATAAGTATTATACTGAATTTTATTTCATTTAAGAATGTCAAAGTAGTATGTCAACTATAAACATTAAGCTACATGTAGTTTTCCCAAACAGAAGATCAGCCTTATAAATTGTAATAATTTCCACTTACCTTTCTGACTTCTACATGTATGCATCTGATGATAATTTTCCCAAGGAAATGGATAATCTAATTATTTGTGCTTGTATAGATAGTATATTTCAGGGAAATCTTGCCTGGCTAAATGACGAAATTGATTCTCTCTCAGTTTTTCTCCTTTCCCAACTGGTAATGGAACTGTCTATAAAGAATATTTCTTCCCTAACCTAATTCATCTATGTGTAGATTATAACAACAATTATTGTAATGATTATATATTACTATATATTATATGTGATTTTAGTAATATATACTGAAGTGTTTGGCCAAAATATATGATTATATATTGTATATTATAATAATTATGTGTTACTACATCGTATATAATATATAATAATATATAAGTATAAATAGTCCCCAAACATAATTATGTATAACTATAGTAATATATATAATATATAGTAATATATAATCATTATAATATTATTGTATATTATATTACTATATACATCTATAATAATAATTATTATTCAACCATTTTAATACCATAATTATAATAGACATTTGAGATATATAAATATTTTTACTTGTATATATATATATAATTTATTAATGTAGATGTTATCAGCACCATGCTCTACCAGTTGATCTAACCAGCCAGCCCTAAATAAAATAAATATAATAAATATATAAAATAAATTAATAAATTATATATAGATATACAAGTAAAAATATTTATATATCTCAAATGTCTATTATAATTATGGTATTAAAATGGTTGAATAATAATTATTATTCAACCATTTTAATACCATAATTATAATAGACATTTGAGATATATAAATTAATAAATTATATATATATATATAATTTATTAATTTATTTTATATATTTATTATATTTATTTTATTTAGGGCTGGCTGGTTAGATCAACTGGTAGAGCATGGTGCTGATAACATCAAGGTCCAGGGTTCGATCCCTATACCAGCCAGCTGCCAAAAAAAAAAAATAGAAAAAACCAAACCTGTTATCTTATTAAGTTTTTTTTTTTTGTTTTTTTTTTTTGCCAAACAGTTCATTTTGTCCTGTGTATCTAGAATACATATCAAGTAGGTTAACAGTTTAATCAAGTTATCATTTTATAAAGCAAATGGACACTCAGAAGTGCTGATCCCTGTCTTTGAGGGCTGCCATCTTCTTCCACTTTCAAATCTTAACCATCTTTATACTGTGTTTATTAAACATTTTCTTTCTGTGTACTATATTATCCTCAGATTTTTTTCCCCCACGCCCTACTCTTCCTTCTTGCAGTATATTTTTACTTTCACATTCAAGGGAGATATGTAGGATCCTCATTCCGTTGAACACTGAGTTAAAAAATGTGTTTAAAATCTATTGCAATTAGGGATATAGAAAGGATATGAATGACAAATGAGGATTTATGAACTTGAAATATGTAGAAAATATATTCAGATGTTTATGGTAGGGAATGTATGTCTAAAGAATTCCTGGGTTTGTAGGAATAAATAGCATCTTAATTACAACATTTTAGGCAAACAGATCAGAGGTTAAGAGCAATTCTTCTTAACCTTTTCTTGGGCACAGACCCATTTAAGAATTTGATTGATGTTATGGACTCTTCCCTCAATAATGCATATCTGTGTACATACACAAACTTTTGCCTAAACATTTATGGGGGAGGGAAAACTATAGTCCCAAAACGTAATAGACATAGTTAAAAATACCTTGGTGATATAACTACCTAGAAATGTTGAATTTAAATATGAATAATTTAACACCTAGCTGAACTCACCAAAAAGGAAAATAAATCCCATGTACCAAAATGACCAACAAGCTGTAAAGTAGTTACGATGGTCCTGGAAATAGTTTTCTGATTCAGAAATAGTCCCAGTGGTTATAAACTTGGGTTTTAATGCTTCTATAAGGAGAAGAGATGAGGTCTTAACATTGCTCAAGGTGGAAATTGAAACAAACCTCTCCATAAAGGCAAGACCCTGGAAGTGCTTTTCAACCTCGATAAAAGGAATATAAAATTTTTTATCACTGATCCACATAAAGTACAAAGAGATACTTATTTTTACATAGGGCTGCATGTGATTAACATTTGAAATCAAAACCCCAAGGTGCATTGCACACCAGTTCAGAATCTGAAATCACTGTCCACTTGATGCCTTCATTTCTAAACTGAGAATTAACGTACAAACTGGTCCTGAGCTGGTGATTGCTTGAGGCATCTGCTCTAGAGGAACACTTTTACCCTTGGGTCACTTAGGATTTCCAAAGGGTGGAAATTATTATTAAAGATGGGCTTTAAAAAATTATAGAACATGTAGAAAAGATTCATTAAGAACAAGAGTTTGTAGACCCTACAAATAGGAGGGTTAACATCCCATGAATTTAAAATAATTGAAAATCAGAAAGAGAGTAAAAATCAATATTTCAAATGAAGAAAGATGACTTCTGTTCCAGCCAGAATGCAGTAATAGGAACTGGATTTACTTCACCTGAAATAAAAAAAAAAAAAGGACAAAATATGTGAAGATATGGTTTTCAAGACAGTGGACATCAGGCAGTAAAGAGCAGTAATCCCTGAGAGACAGGAAATTAACGAGTTCAGTCCTACAATTTCTTAGCTTACTGGCCTGGAACCACAGTTCAGGGAGGAGAAACCACAA